GGCAGCCGGGATCTAACAGGCTCCAGGTTAAGCATTTGTGTGGTCACTCCTCTGATGGGATACAGAGGGGTCCCCGCTGGCCAGGCAGGCCTTGGCCTTCCTCCCCGTAGCAGAAAGGCACCGTTGCCAAGCTGCCATCGTTCGCCACATCCAACACCAGCTCACTGATCACCGGCAGTAACGAGTGGCAATTCGCAGGCAGTAGGACAAGAGGAAATGGCCTCAAGTTGCGCTGGGCAGGTTTAGGTTGGATATTGGGAAAAATTTCTTCACCAAAAGGGTTATCAATCACTGGAACGGGCTGGAGTCACCATCCCTGGAGGCATTCAAAACATAAGTAGATGTGGTGCTTGGGGACGTGGTTTAGCAGTGGACTTGGCAGTGCTGCGTTAACGGTTGGACTTGATGATCTTAAAGATCTTTTCCAACCAAAACAATTCTATGATTATTTCCTGTCCTGTTTTCAGCTGAGATGGAGTTAATTTTCTTCACAATAGCTGGTACGGGACTGTGGTCTGGGTTTGTGCTGAAACCAGTGTTGATACCACAGGGATGTTTTTGTTATTGCTGAGCAGTGCTTACACAGAGCCAAGGCCTTCTGCTCCTCACCCCACCAGCGAGGAGGCTGGGGGTGCACAAGGAGCTGGGAGGGGACGCAGCCGGGACAGCTGACCCCAGTGACCAAAGGGATATGCCATACCACATGATGTCATGCTCAGCATCTAAGGGGCTGAGGGGAAGAAGGGGGCAGCGGCATTTGGAGTGATGGCGTTTGCCTTCCCGAGTCCCCGTTACGTGTGATGGAGCCCTGCTCTCCTGGGGATGGCTGAACACCTGCCTGCCCGTGGGAAGTGGGGAATGAATTCCTTGGTTTGCTTTGCTTCTGCGCACAGCTTTTGCTTTACCTGTTAAACTCTCTTTATCTCAACCCACGAGTTTTCTCACTTTCACTCTTCCAATTCTCTCCCCTATCCCACCGGGGCTGGGGGGGAAAGCGAGCAAGCGGCTGCGTGCGGCTCAGCTGCCAGCTGGGGCTAAACCACAACATTTTCCTATTTTCATTCTCTTTGTGATAATAATTTCTGTGCTGGTATTTGTCCTTTTGATTCTGTGAGCTACTAGCAACTCCAGACTGAACAGTCCAGCTCTGCCTCTGATTTACTGTAGCTTCCTACAGACCATCTCACAGCTCTTTCCTCAGCTTGGTTTTCTCAGCAGCCTGAGCCACGTTTGCGCAGTTGGGCCATCTTAGAGCTGGGCTTTTGATTCTGGACAGAGAGGGACCCGAAAGCTGGGGAGAAGATGAAAGGGGGAAGCTTACAGAGATATTTACAATCTATAGGAGGAAGGTAAAGAGGAGCACACTTGGTATACCTTCTTAATGGAAGCTGCACCAAATACAACACTTGCAACTTCATAGAAGTATTAAATTGCATCTTCACTTTTAGAAGCAAACAGCTGTTGCTGCTGTTTGTACCTAACAGGCACACACACAGAATTTTCTTCCACTGAGGCTGCCAACCTGAGAAATTACCATTTTCACTCTTCACAAAACACCATGATTATGTATTTTTTGGTGGGGACATGTGAAAGAACATGAAGAAACCCAGGGCCGAGTCAAGTGGGTCTTCAGGACCACTTTGTGTTAGGAACCACAGCACCGTTTGGACTGGGAGGGGTCTCGGGGAACCATCCAGCATCCCGGTGCTTTTCGGCTGAGCTGCTCCAACCAGCGGGTCCTCAACCCACCTGGTTGTTCTCGCTCGGGGAGAAGAGGACATGGTGCTTGTCTTTGCTGAACTTGAGGAGGTTCCTCTTGGCCCATTCCTCCAGCTCATCAAGGGTTCCTCTGAAGTCTAATCCTGCCTTCATGGCTACAAACTGCTTCCCCCTCCCGTTCACCATTCCCTGCAGATTCCCCGAGGTGCCTTCTGCCCTTTGTTTTGGTGACGGATGGTGCTGATGCTGAGCAGGATCGGGGCCCCAGTGCTGTTCCTTCAAGCGATGCCACCCATACTTGGCTGCCACTTGGACTTCAAGCTGTTGACTACACTTCTACCTTGAAGGTCCTGCTCCTCATCTTCACCTTGCCTGCCTGGCAGGGGGGGCAGCTGCCATTCCCCATCTTCACCACCACCACTCTGCAGAAACAGGTTCCCGAGGGGGAACACGGGAGCATTTCGTGGGCTTGCAAAGGATGGGCTTGGGAAACCTGCAGTTCAGCTGCAGATTAGAGTGACGAGGAATTGGCAAGGGCAACCAGAAGGGCTTCTACGGACACCAGCAAGTGGGAAGCCGACAGAAAAAGGGTCCAGTGCTGAAATGACGTGAAACACTGGGCAGAGGCCCTCTGCACCCATGCTGTACCAGTATATTAGGCAAGATGTAATTAATATTTGTTCATATTGAATCCAGACACCAGCGTACTACAAAAGTGTATCCTGACATCGGCCTACGTGTTTTGTAACACTGTGATGCTGCCTATACCATAACCATCAACAAGCATTTTGTAACGCAACTAAGCAGAAATGAAAAAATAATTATGCCGCGAGAAGGGAAACAAGGGCTTGTGGTATAGAGGCAGAGGCAGATTATGGAAAAACACGTGCAAATATTAAATAAAACCGTCTAGGTAAGAACACGGGATGAGAACAAGCATGAAAGATGTCTGGTGGGAGCAGAACAGGCGGGAAGGACGCCTGGTGAAACGTGAACAAGTCCAGTCCTAAAAAGATGATAAACTGTATTGTGAGTTATCTAGTAGTTATCCAAATTGGACTTTTCTTTAAAACATCTTGTTTAAGAGTTGTCTCAATAATTTTAAGCTACAAAAATATAACTTTCTGCTGTATTTGGGATAGAACTACTTTTATAGACAGTGAGGAGAAAGAGATCTTTCAGGGATGGGATCCATCCAACCTGGGCTTCTATTTTATAACGTGAATCACCTCCTAAATTGACTACTTGTTTTCCAGGAACTAGAAAATGAACCGGGGAAGCTAGTTCAGATGTAGCTATTCCAAACAAGTCATCTACATTTAGTCAGGCGGATCCCATCGCTTCTGGTTTTATTATGTATTGCACCAGAAACGCACTAAAAGTTTTTAACTTCTAAGAAAATCACTGAGAAAACACTCTTCTCTCTACTGTTCTCCTTAGGGCATCCTTCACCTCTTTGTTCCTCAAGCTGTAAATCAGGGGGTTCAGCATGGGAAGGACGATGGTATAAAATGCAGAGATCACTTTGTCCGTGTCCAGCGAGTAGCTGGAGCTGGGCCGTAAATACGTGAAGAGGAGGGAGCCATAGAATAACCCGACGGCCGTCAGATGGGACGTGCAGGTGTAGAAGGCTTTGTGCCTCCTATCTGCCACGTGGATCCGGAGGATGGTGCGGAGGATGCAGCTGTAGGAGACAACGATGGTCAGGAAGGTGCTGGTTTGTATAAAGCCACAGAGGGTGAAGAGGAGGACCTCGTTGATGTGCGTATCGGAGCGGGAGAGCTCCAGCAGCGGTGGAATGTCACAGAAGAAGTGGTTGATCACGTTAGAGCCACAGAACGACAACGTGAATGTGAAAGACGTGTGCACCAGCGAAGTCAGACCCCCGCTGAGATAAGCCCCAGCTACCATGGAGGTGCAGACCCTGCGGGACATGGCCACGGTGTAGAGAAGAGGATGACATACGGCCACGTAGCGGTCATAGGCCATCGCAGCCAAAATGAAGCACTCAGCATCAGCGAAGGCAGCAAAGAGAAACATCTGCGTTGCACAACCGACTAAAGAAATGGTCTTCTGCTGCGCTAACAGACTCACCAGCATCTTGGGAGCAATGGCAGATGAACAGCTAAGGTCTAAGAAAGACAAATTTTTTAGGAAGTAGTACATGGGGGTATGAAGGCAAGCATTGAGCTGGACGAGCACGATGAGGCCAGCGTTCCCCACCAAAGTGGTGGCGTAGATGAGCAGAAAGAGCCCAAACAAAGGTATCTCCACCTCCAGACGGTCAGTGAAACCCAAGAGAATGAACTCGGTCAGTGCGGTGCAGTTTTCTTCAGGCATTGCATTACCTTGTGTTTGGCATCGCAGACGTAAGATTTCTCAGGTGATCAGTCAACCCTAGTGGGTAAGCAGCGCACAAACACGTTACGCCCTTCACAAGATAGAGGTAGTGGAAGTGAATCCAGTGGCTTAGATGATGTCCGTTGAGAGGAAAGCTTAGGAGGACATTTAAAGAGCTTTACAAACATACTTTATGTGGAATTCCTTCCTATATATCAGACATATTGCATCATTTACATGAAATAGGGCCTCAGGTGGGATTTTATTTAAGAGCTGGACCATAATGCAGGTGTAGAAGAGACTTTGTATGATATATCACTCGAGGAAAAACATTATTTGAGTATAATAACTGCTATACATTTACCTGCGTGAAGAGTAGAGTGAGGAGTTCAGGCAGAGTTAATAATGACCTGAGTCAGCAGGGAAATTGAACACTGGAAAAAATGGATTGAAATGCTGGAACAAATATTTTTAAAAAAGACAAAAAAGACATAATTAGTTTGGAACAAACACAAATCATGGAGTTTAAATGAAATATTGCTTCTCATTCTGGGATTTCTTACAAAATATTTTGTGGGGTTATTTTCCTCAAGCTGATTAATTGTTAAGCAGTTGATGAAAAGAAAGCCAGGAATATTGTTTTTAAACTTTCAAACACAAATATTTTTAAATTTTCCCCACCTTTTTTTTTTTTTCCCCCCTGAAATTATTGATTGAATTTTAATTACTCAGTCCCCTAGAAAACTAATTCTGGGTATTAATTTTACCTTTTCAGAAAAAGTGTGTAATTGAACTTTGTTGCAACGAATCTCACCTGTAGTTGGCTTTCTAAAGGTTGGTCTGAGCGCATCATCTTCAGCTCCATCTACAACCATGACAGAGGGATAGGTGGGATGCATCATACCCTGGCTACGTGCAGGTCTGTTGATGAGAACGGAAGCCCAGATGACCAACATAAATTCACTGCCAAAATTTTAGATGGTCACACTCGAGTGAGATGAATCCCATTTTAGACAGCTTGCTTTGATCTTGTCTTTCAAGATCTTTCGTTCTTGGTGAAGGCATGGTGCATCATAAAATCTGAATCCTTTTCTAGGTGTGACTCCAGAAAACGTCTTGGGTGACTCAGGTCATGATGTAGGTCTCCCAGTTACGTTCCTAGAATAAAGTGACAAATTCCACAAAATTTCAATTGTGTTTTATTTTTAGCCAAGGCCAGTTAAACACCATATAACATTACAATTCGTTTTGACGCTTTAACATTTTTTTGAGATATTTCTGGGGAAAGTAAAAAAAAAGAACATTTCTGCCCTGAAAAATATTCCATGGTTACACACACATGGCGGTTTCTTCTTATTTTCAGCTGTTGATCATGCTCAGAAATTTAGGTACAGAAATCCTGCCAGCTGCTAAAAATTCAGTGGTCTCTGATGAAGACCTGCAAGAGATTTCAGTTCCCAGATCAATATTTTAGGTGCAAAAATTAATAAAAAATAAACTCTCCCCTTTTTAAAGATACAGTCATTTTTTCTTTTGTTTTGTATCATGATGCAGCAATTCTTTTCCTTTAGTGCCTCCAAAATTCATTCAGTCAACAAGGCAACTGGCTTAGAACAATTTCTACATGACTCCCTGAATGGAAGGAAATTTTACTTATTAGGAGGCTTACCTGCTAGGGAAATATTTCTTTTTTTCCTGGATGCAGGAAACGTTTCTTTTGGGGAACGTCATAGATTTTATATCTTCCTTTTGGACACAGGAGACCATGATGTTCTCAAGGGAAGAGCAGAACAATTAGAATGCTACTGGTGTTGTCTCAGTGTAGAAATGTTTCAATGAAACAATGTGCTCTAAAGATATTGTAAACACTCTCGGAAATGCTTCTAATATTTCATTTGACTGGAAACCCATAAACAGTTTGGTTTTGTTTTTGTTTTTTTTAAAGCAGAACAGTGCTGAAATGAGGATGGCCATCAAAACAGAGTCCAACCTGCGATCTGGATGCAAGGCCACTGGGACCTTGAAGCAACCACTTTTTGAGAAAAAAAAAAATTCAAAAGCACCTCAAAGTGATCATGACAATTTAGAAAACTGAATCTGGCAATCATTAGAAATTTTTGATCATATCAAGTTAAAAGGTGCTAGTTCTCACTAAAGAGCCTGTGTAATACAGGAATTATACACCCAGAGGATGATTGAGAGGAGTTTAACTTGTTACCTTACTCATATTTTAAACAGTAGTTAATCTCTTTCAATATCAATTTGTGGTGTTTTTTTTCTTTCATAGCAGAGTTGTGATATTAATTGACCTAAAGGTGTTCAGTGAATGAAGTAAGAATATCAAGCGGCTATCTAGGTGGACAGATACAATTAAAACCAGCTTTCAATTCAACTGTTCTTCACTAGCAGATGTTTAATTTGTTTGATAAATGTGCAGCTGATGTCTTTTTCTGTGAGGAAACTTGGGTAACTCTTTCAACATTTATTATTCCCCAGTTGACAAGCTTCATTTGCATTGCTTGCCTTTTCCTTCCTTCTAGCTAGTTCATGCGTACAGCAGAGGACATATATATGTTCATAGGCAAGCACTTAAGGTCTTGTGGTTTTATTTTATCTCAACCCAAGACATTCCTCCCAGTAGTCTCCAAGAACTTCTAAATGAGATGAGGACAACTTGGAGGCAATTTGTGTTGGGCAATACACCAGACCTCAAAGGCTCCAGAGGTCAGAGGAACCCCAAAAAAATACAAGAGAATGATCTTAACTAGTTTTAGATTAATAACTTTTAGATGGCTAAGTTAGTTGGGGGGTTTTTTAGCTATTATTGGCAAGAAATAAGCACTTCTGAAGGACAACTCATCCCATCGTAAAGTAAGTTTAAGGAAAATGATGTGTCTTGCTCTCTCCCTCCCTACACTGACTATAAAATAAGCCCAGATAACTAAGTTAAGCTTGCAAAGCTCAATTCTGTGCTCCTGAAATTATACAAAACAGACCCTACCCTTCCTGTCCCCATACTCCATCCCTCAGCACTTATGAAGAACACACCTTGAAGCTCTGGGGTATTGAGTTCACAGATGACACCCCTGAGGCAAGACCCTAGACATTGACCAAAGCAATCACATGGGAGGAAGGCAAAGGTTTTTATTTCACCCATTTCAACAAACTGTCTGTAAAGAGATGGGAAAGCTCCACAGAGGTTTCCACTAGCCAGTAATGGATCTATTTGGATTTTCCAAAACGCTGGACAGAGGCTAAACTGTGACAGAGGACAGGGATGTCATGGATCCTCTGGGGTTTTTTTGGGGGGGATGATGTGGGAAAGCCTGTCCAGGAGAGTTGGGGAAAATGAAGCACATTTGGATTGTTACTCATATCTCTGCTCTTTCATTTGATATTTTTAGTATGGGGCTCATCACTCAAACAATTAAAAGCTACTTGTGTAAGCTTAACTTCTAGGCTACTCTGGTAACCCATGTAGAGAAATTATCACTCAAATTCTAGAAAGTATCCAGAGTGCAAAGATCTATATATAGGCTACCGTGGACATTGCTTATCTGAGAGTTCAGGAGAAGACTGTGTGTCTCTTCTGATCCAGTTGTGCTTTCAGGGACCAATCATGTGTCTAGTATTAATCGGCTGTCTTGGATGACTGCAGACTGTAAATCAGTCGAAATACATCTTAATGGTCCAACAAGGAAGACTGCCAGTGACATAAACTTATCTTTAAATCAAATAAGGAGACTGCAGACTGGAATTCAGCTTGCATGTGTTGGTATTGTTTCACGAGGGCCAGCAAAAACTTGAAATAATGACTACCCTCCCTTCATGTCAGGTCCTTCTCGTGCTCGTATAAAGGCTGGTGGTTTCATGAGACCAGCGATCTTCTGCAGCCTGTTGCTCTGTATGACCCCATCACTTAGAGGATCTGGGGCCAGAGACAAAATGTCATCAGTATAAAAAGCAACACAAAGAAAGGTCTCCAACTTATTGTCAAAGTAAATAACATTACCTAGAGAATATGAATCCTCTGCTTATGTTCTGGAGGTGGGGGGGGTGTTTCCTTGGTAGTTTTTTGTTTTCCTAATGAGCTCTGTATTCATGAACCAAAGACCTCAGCCTACTGCAACCTTTGCATCAATGGGATCCCACCGGGACGCATACAGCTCTTAAGGGAAGTTGATGGTGAAGACCTTGCCATTCCCCTGCTGACTGTTTGTACCTTCTCATCTGCAGTCAGCGCCAGGCGCCGAGGGGCAGAATGTGACAACAGCTTGCTTGATCAGAGCTTGTAGTCACAGCTTCTTTAAATGCCGTTGTGCGTCCAGCTTTCTAGGACCATTTCCTCCTGAGGAAAAGCAAGCATCACTTTTAACATTAGCTTCCAAGGTAGGAAACATATCCACAGCCTGAAATATTATAAAATCTGGCAAATCGTTGATTGTGTCACTGTTTTATTCTCTATCCTTACTCTGTACTTTGAATCTTGCACACAGAATTGCAGTCTATGCTCATATACACAACAGTAAAAAAAGTAATGAATTTTCATATAAGGAATGCTAAAAGTCTACAAAAAAAATAATGTGGTCAGAGAGGAAAATTGTTTTGACCTGAGCTGGATTCTTTCTTATTTTGGAAGACAGGAGAACATGTACTTGTGAATGTCCATGTGGCTTCTTTTCCTAAGATGTGGAGACTTTTGGACTCTTGCTCCTGGAAGTTTGTACTTGAGTGACAAATGACATTCAGGGCGGTACTTCACAAGAGAGGTCTCTGCCCTCAGCAGGGGCAGATCTCTCATAGCTGCAATTCAGCCGTTCTCTGTGGTTACAGCAGATGCAGGGTTGGTTTAAGACTTAAATCTGCGCTTAAGTCTTAATCTCAAATGACCAAGATCCACAGAAGTTCTAATATTGCCTTGATGAGCACTGAAATGTGGGGTTACAGCAAAAAAAAGAATCATTTAACAGCATCAGCTCATCCTACAGACCCTAGTGTTG